TTGTTTAAAAGCAGGTAAACCTAATTAAATTTATTTAGCAAAAAGTACATAAAATATAATATTTTGGGAAAAAGTACACAAGTGAGATACAAAAACGTAAATGCCCATTTTTGTAAAATTTTCTTTCCTAAAAACTTTAACAATGCATTTATTAAGCGTTGAAAATTAGGATCATTTAATTCAAAATCTCTTATCTTTAATGCACTTTGATTCATGTGTATTTGTTAATACATATAAATACGTATATATATACTAGTTTAAATTTCAAAGTTTGTTAATATCCGAACTTCATAATAGTGTAACAAAAACAATGCAACAATACACTGTAACAAAAACAGTGTTCAGTAGTTTTGTGCATGTGATAACAAAATCAAAATAGAGATGAACTGTTTTGAATGAAATTATATGACAATATATGTTTGACAAAATGTAATAGTACAATATTTTGTATAAATGACTTGTTACACTGTTATTGTTACACTGTTCGGATATTAATATAATTTGAAAACAAAACTACATTCCAAAAAAATATGCATAAATTAAGGTACATTAAATATAATTTGAAAACAAAATCACTTTCAAAAAAAAAAAATACGCATGAATCAAGGGAGAATATACAAATATAGAATATTAAAGTTCTCACATAAAACTAGGAGATGTTTAATGCACTACTTTTCAAAGAAAATACACATCTATTTAATAAAATAGAACAAATTTGAATTTTGGAGACAAAGAGTGGTCTAGATCATTTCGTGAGCAAAAAAAATATCATCCAACGGACGGCGTTATCTCAAACTGTCTCAAGCTATTGACGTCTCAGATCGTTTTGATCCGACGTACTATCTTTTGAAATATTTTTGCTACTCAAAATTTTTAGTTTCCAAAATTGATATTTTAAAATTTAATTCTCCCAAATCTTTTCCTTAAATCAAGCAAATATCTTTCTCTCTCATTCTCATTCCTCGGTATCTCTTTCATGCTCAATTCATGTAAAAAGTGTCAATTTTTTACAATATTTTTCCTCCGTATATCTCTCTGTATCTCACGAAAATATCACAAAAATATTAGAAAATGTTTGATTCAAGCAAATACTACATCTTTTTGTAGATAAATAGCATATATCACAGAGAAATTGTATATTACGAAAATATTCATATGTATCTCTTTCTAAAATAAAATTATGTAATAAATATTAGATAAATAGTATATATCACAAAAATATTCCTCTATATCTCTCTCTTTCATTCAAGCAATATTACAAACATGAATCATACAAATTCAATAGTCAAATTTGTTTTTTCCATAATTAATAAATAAAAGCATAACTTACAAAAAATCTAATTTAACAAATAAAATATGTTTAACATGTAAAATATACAAGATTAAATTCAAGTTATTAGGCAATTCAGATATCAAGAGATATATTAAAAAAATATGCTTAATATTTAAAATATACAAGATTAAATTTATATACAAACACAAATTATACAAATTCAATATTTAGTGAACAACACAAAACAACAATATTTATTAAATAATTCAAATCTAAATACCCGAGAAAAATGATACAAAATTATAAGCAAAAAAAATGATACAAAATTATAAACAATACTATAAATACGAATCATACAAATTCAATATTTAATGAACAACATGAAACAACAAAATAATCCAATACTAAATAAGGTTAGTTTAAGAAAATATACTAAGAATATAAATAACCAAAAATAATGACATAAAATTAGAAGCACTACTATAAACTCGAATCATACAAATTTAATAGTCAATTTTATTTTTTCCATAATCAATTAAAAAATGGCGTAACTTACAAAAAATCTAATTTAATAAAGGAAATATTCTTAACATATAAAATATACAAGATTAAATTCAAGTTATTGGACAACTCGAATATCAAGAGATATATTAAAGAAAATATGCTTAACATTTAAAATATTACAAGATTAAATTTATATACAAACACAAATCATACAAATTTAATATTTAGTGAACAACACAAACCAACAATATTTATTAAATAATTCAAATCTAAATATCAGAGAAAAATGATACAAAATTACAAGCGAGAGAAACAATACAAAATTATAAGCAATATTATAAACATAAATTATACAAATTCAATATTTAGTGAACAATACAAAGTAACAATCTTTACTAAATAATTTAATACTAAATAACGTTTAGTTTAAGAAAATATATTAAGAATATAAATAACTGAGAAGAATGATGTAAAATTATAAGCTCTACTATAAACTCGAATCATATAAATTTAATAATAAATTTTATTTTTTCCATAATCAATAAAAAAAAAACATAACTTGCAAAAAATCTAATTTAAAAAAAAATGTTTAACATGTAAAATATACAAGATTAAATTTAAGTTATTGGGTAACTTAGATATCAAGAGATATATTAAAGAAAATATATTTAACATTTAAAATATACAAAATTAAATTCATATACAAACACGAATCATATAAATTTGATATTTAGTGAACAACACAAAACAACAATATTTACTAAAAAATTCAAATCTAAATACCCAAGAAAAATGATACAAAATTATAAGGGAGAAAAACGATATAAAATTATAAGCAATACTATGAACACAAATCATACAAATTCAATATTTAGTAAACAATACGAAGTAACCATTTTTATTAAATAATTTAATACTAAATAATGTTTAATTTAATAAAATATACTAAAAATATAAATAATCGAGAAATAATGATATAAAATTAAAAACACTACTATAAACTCGAATCATACAAATTCAATAGTCATGTCATATCTTTTGGAAGTCGGTTGAATTTCTGATAATTATATTTGGTCATTTGACAACATCTGCAGACTTTGTTTATTTGTGAGAGTATTGTTTTAATTTTCATTCTATTAGTTATAAATTATATTATTATTTAGATAAAGTTGATTATGAATGTTAAAATCGTGAATTTTGAATCAAAAACAGAACATTGAATATTGTCAACTGATATATTTTCAGATTTTTGAATTGTTATGTTTCGGTAGTTATAACATAATTTTCGTGGCGTAACAATTTAATGTGAAAATATATGTTATGCATGAAGGTTGATGTTATAAAAAATATTAGTAGACTCATTTTGTTCGTCATTTACTATAATGTTATATTTTACTTTACATTTATGTATGGACAAATATTTGTAACTAATTTACGAATAACACCATGCCTTCAAGCATTGACAATTGCTAGTAGATTAATATAAGACAAAAATGTCACAAAAAAATCAGTAAAATTCACATAATGTACTTAGATACAAAATAAATATCAAAATTAAAGACTTAATTATCTATTTTTTTTTTTGTTTTTTTACAATTAAGTCTAATTTGATGTACCGCTTCCAATTTTTTCAAATTTTAATATGTAAGATTCACTTATTTATTTAGTTATTTTTATTGGATATTAACATCATAATGTTATGTTATTATTACACGAAATATTTTCTAAGCCAAAGATTGTGAGGTTTTGTCGGTACGTTTTCATGTTATCAATGGTATTCGATATATCATCACTAAGGCAGGGCATCTATTTTTTTTTTTTTGGTTTAATGGTATGGGATTTTTGACTAACTTACACATATTTTTACTAATTTTATTCACGCTGAAATTAAGGTATTCATAAGAGATAAATCTCTTATGAACTAGTCTTAAAAAATTATCAAAATTTAAATTTAAAGTATCTAAATTTACAATTTACCTCTATTATTATTTGAAGAACCTTGAAATTAGGGCAGCTACCTCTGGAAACCTCATACTTGAAAGAAAAGCTGGATACAAAAATGCTTGAATTTTGCTACCATGTTGCCCGGAAGCTGTGGGTGTGGGGTGTCCCATCATTGATCTGTCAATAAAAAGAACTACTTTGTGGGCAAATATTTGTTGACCAAATATCACCCAGGAAGCTTCCTTTAATATATTCTCAATAACTATCGACTTATCCTTATATTACTTTTGGGACTTTTTTAATGGAGAGGATGCTTCTAGGAAACCTCCATTACCCTTTTTTAGTCTCAAGAACTGTGCTTACGTATCATTCTTAAGAACTTATACACCCCTTCACAAAATATATAGACGGACAATTATCTCTTAAATGCAAGTTTAAGTTCGACGTCAATGAAAAATTAAATTAGAACACCTAACAACACATTTTCACAAATCAAGAGTGTTGGAAAGATCGTACTATTCGAACATTTTTTCTAATAATTTTTCAAGAGATTTGGAGAAAGGTGTACTAAACAATTTTTCTTTAATTATATCTTCAAAAACCTTGAAATTCTTTTTTCTTTTGCGTAAGATTCAAATTAGCCATCTATTAGTCAATCAATTATAGTGATTGCCATCTCTTCCTTTAGCAATCACTTAATATAAAGAAATTTCTCCCATGATGGTTGATTTTTATCATAAAACTCTTCATGAGATTGAGATTTATGTAAAATAGTCGACTCGAGATAAAAATTGGCTTTGATCATTTACATAGTGAAAGGAGAAGGCCTCAAGCAACTGAAGTTCACAAAGACTTTTCGTAAAAGTTTTATTAGATAAATAGTTATGTTAGATTTCGGTTATTAATCCGAATAGATGATAGATAAAAAAAAAATACGATATAGGTGGACCACTTTAAAGAGATATCACACATGTGGAGAGTATTAATACCACTATTACATCCCTTATAACCTCTTGTTTCTAAACTATAATCATTTCAAATAGAGCCATTCATACGAATCAAATTTTTTTTTTTTTTCTTCCTCCCAAGTCTCAAGAACCGGAGCGGTCTTTATAAGTACTTGTAGCGAATTTCAAAAATCTCATTTTGCCTCTAGAAGATACAAAAATTTTCAATTTCTCCCCCATTATCTATATTTTGATTTGTTTGTCAGTCTATTTTGTGATTCCATTCTTCATCTCCATTCTTAGACTAGTTTCTTCTTAAGAAATGATCATCTTCAAATGCTGACACACATAGCATATAGCACAATAAGAATTGCGGACGCCATTGATACCACAGAATAGAACCTGCAAAACCTGGCCATCTTCGGTCTGTTGTGGAGAAACAACTCGCTGAACGAACCTGAGAAAGCAAACATGATGGATATGATGAACCCATGAAAAATAGACGGCAGGCCCTTAAAGATCACTGTCGGTACGCGGTTTCCGTCGATGTATTCGCAGGGAAGAAATGGTAATACCGCTGCTACGGCGGAGGTGACTACCAGAATTGCCGGTGGATTTGTGTTCTGGGTTGTTGGATATGAAGGCTTGACGTCGGAGGGAGGAGGAGGATGGAGTGCAAAAAATTTGTACAAGTCCGTTTTCTTGTCCATCTTTAGGACTGGTGGAGAGAGTTATTCTCAGACGGGCAATGAAGAGAGACAATGTATAAGCTTCTTGATTGGTAGTTAGCAGTAACCTTCTAGGAAGACCGAAGACAACTGAGTGGGAAACTAGGAAATTGTGTATATTATTGTTGAAGGAGAAGAAACGTGAAGGAAGAAACAAGTTGTTGATCAGTATCATCCAAGAAACTTCATTGAAATATTTTTTTTTGGGGTAGAAGTGAAGCTTCCTTCATGTGAGAGAGAGAGAAATTTATCTACTTCTAGGAAAATCCTAAGCAATTGCCTTTGTTTTGGAAGAACAGAAAGTCCCTATTTCACTTGGAGTAAATATTGGTTTAAACCACGTTATCATTTAACTTGGAGCTTTTGATCCATCCAAGGCTTTTTTAAAAAAATTTCCAACAGATTTGAAAATAATTCTAAAATCGAGTTTTAAAAACGTCATTTACTTTGACCTTTTTTTGCGTAAAAAGGTCAGTCCAAATAACGTCTTTAATCCAAATACACTGGCCAATTTACTCTTTAAAAAACATTATTTAGACTGACGTTTGTAAACAAAAAACGTTAGACCAACTAACGCGTTCAAACCAACTAATTATTTTACCTTGTAAATATCAAATGGTCCGACGCGTTCAAAGTTCTCCACCTAACACTTTTAACTAAAGGATATCACCCCCACCAACACATGATATATCTAATGCTCATAAAAAAATAAATTAATATTTATTTGAGTAATTATCATAATTGACCCCTAAATTTTCTCTAGAATTTTAATATAGTCCCTAAAATTTTAATTTAATTCATTAATTATCAATTTTATTTTAATTAAATCATTTCATTAATTTTCATCATTAGATCAACTGGAGATTACATCAATTTAATTGATTTCAGCATTGATCTAACGATAAAAATAAATAAAAAAGACTTAATTGTAACAAAATTGAAAGTTGAGAGACTAAAATACGACAAGTGAAAGTTTATGGATTAAATTGAAATTGGAGGTAAAATTCATGACTAACTATAAAATTTACCATTTTTTTTTATAAAATATTATAAATGCATCAAATAATTATAATTTCTAGTCAATTTTAATATGATCCTAATTTTTTTTAAACTTATAATAATATTTTAAAATATCAAACACCGACTGTTAAGAATGACAGTGAACCGAATACAAATGAATATTGTTTCAAACCCGCTTCCAACAATATCTTTTAACTGTCAATGATTCACTCTACCATAATACCTAAAAATGTTTGTAGTGATAGGTTTTCTGCTTTTTTTTTTTTGAGTAAAATGTTAAATGTTTGTAGTGATATTGTCAACGGTGCAATGCAGGCTGACAAAATAGCTTGGATTTGGGGCTTCAATGGTTGGGTGGTGGTGGATGGCGCTGGGTGGTGCTGCGTGGTGGTGGGTGGTGCTGCGATGGTGGTGGTTCTGCGATGGTCTGCTATGGGACTGCTGCGAAAGTCTGCTATGGGGTTGCCTAACTGAGTTAGGGCTCAAAATGGGGGGGGGGGGGGGGGAAGAGAAAATAAAGAAGGGAATAAGAGATGAGGGAAAAATGGGTTCAGGTTTGAGTTGCTAAACATATCAGTGCAACTGACATTTTTAATTAAAAACGTCAATTAGACTAATGTCTTTAAGCTCCATACTGTCCACAGAATAAACTTAAAAACGTCATTTGATTTGATGTTTTTAAACTAAACATGTCAAACCAACTAATATCTTTTGACTTAAAAACTTCAAACCAAGTGACTTTTAAAACTCCATGGATTTGAGAATTATTTTCAAACCAACCCTTAGTTGAGAAATTTTTTAAAAAAAAATTGGGATGGGTCAAAAGCTCTTTTAACGTGTATAGGTTGCATTTGAAAAATCAAATGCAGCCTATACTTTTGATAACATATTTTAAAAGTATTCTTATTATTTATTTGGTTTTTAAGGACTTATTAATAGTAATATTGGTCTTTATGTATATATTTTTCTTCTTTAACTGTACTCATATTCATAGTCTATATACATAATACATGTATAGAAAGAGCATAGTTTTTGCATTAAAATACAACTAAATCTATATAATAAAATATAAAGATTGAACACATAAAAAAAGACTTTTACATTTCGCGGTTGAGATTATTTTAAATTTTATTTTAAAGTTAATTCAACTACTAATATTAACTTCCAAATTTAATAGAAAAAATATACACTATAAGGGTGTGTTTGAGATAACATTTCAAAAGTGTTTTTAGAACTTATGATTTCTCATAAGCACTTTAAAAAAAATAATGTTTAAAAAAATTTATTTTAATTACTTACAAATAAGTTGAAAGTAGTTTTACCACTTAAATAAATAAATAAGTAAAAAAAAATTCTACTTCTTTAAAATCACTTCTCTATAAAACACTTCACTACCACCCCCGCTACCGCCACCTCACCACCACCAACACCGTTGTTGCCACCCACCACCTCCCCCACCATCATCACTACTACCACCACTGTAAAAATAATTATAGATTTTAAGCATAGATTTATAATTGGAATTAAAAAAAATTGTTAGTAAATTTTTGTCAAATCAACAATTATTATAATTATGATGTGAGCAAAATAACTATAAGTGTTGTAATCTAAAATTCGAAATAAAACATGCAAACAGAAGTTAGATCATTAAAAATATAACATGCAATTTAAATATATCAGATAAATAGATTTGGAATGAGCTGATCTGCGAGTCCAAGAGGCGTGTGATCACTGTCCTAAAACAGCTGAGCCTCCCCACGTGAGGGTACTGACGGACACCAGCGACTCTAAGATCCAACTCAGACGTTCGTAGCAGCACCACCTTCTCAATAGTCACGTCCACTAGAAGATTAGAGTGAATTTGACTCGAATCGAGTTGCCCAAAAATAAAGTAAGATAATTGAAAAAGTATGTCAAATATTGAAATAAACAATTGAAAGGTCTATAGAGGTGATTTTCGTTGCAGCCAAAAGATATCTCAATACCATATATATAGTCACTTGTGTGTTAACGTACACATGATGACTTTTAATGTCTTTCAATTTTTTTTTCTCCTTTTTACTATTGGCTACTATGTAACTTAAAAATGATATATATATATATATTCAATGGATTTGAATGTTTGGCCTTGAATACCTGTAAAATCAATTTTAAGATCAATAATAATAATTCTTGAATATTCACACTAAATAGGACCAAAAAAATTTGCAACTTAAATTCACATAATTAAAATGAAAATTCAATAAAAGTTTTACTGTGCAATAGGTGTAGATGTCTTCCGGACTTAAACCTCACTTAGTGTTGACAGTTTTTCTCTAAAGGATCATAGTGACCAAAGACTTGAACTAGATCTTTTGAACCAAAGTTCAAGATGTCACACACGCAGTACCGATATTGGTCAAGATTCACGGGTCAGTGCTATTAATAGCCTTACACTTGATCTTGATTCTTATGAGAGTTTCTAGAGAATAGTCTAATTCTCATAGTCGCGGCCTCACAACTACTCTCATTTAGGTGAGCTCTCCAAGGGTACATGTGCACAATACCCTACAGGAGTGTTCTTGTCTCGGTCTCATTCAGGGTAAAACTCTTCTTTACCGTCACACTACATATGCACTTCTGCTATAGGAATGAGTAGAAAAATATCTCTTCTTAGATATTTCCTAAATAACAGTGCTAATGAGTCACGTAGTATGAATTATTTCTACCCATTAAACTTCCTTCATGGGGTCCCCAATCATAGAAGTTGGGTTACCTCCCTAGGTGACTCCCTTGTGGGCTTAAGGACATCCCCCTCAACAGTTCTAAGATAGCTTTCTTCGAAAGCCCTTTAGTTAGCTAATCAATTATATTAGGCTCAGACTTCACAAAGTCTAGTGAGATTATGTTTTTACTCAGCATTTTCTTTATTGATTTATATCTCACTTGTATATGTCTATTCATCTTTTTATTATTATGATTTTGTTTCACAAGCTCAATCACTGTCTTACTATCACAGTGTAATGAAATGGCAGGTTTGGGTTTTTCCAGTAGAAGTATCTCTAGTAATAAATTCTTTATCCACTCAGCCTCAACACACATGGTATCTAAGGCTATAAGTTCCGACTCCATAGTACTTCTTGATATTAGGGTTTGTTTTTTAGATCCCCAAGATATGGCTGCTCCTCCTAACAAAAAGACATAGTCAGTAGTGGATTTTATATCTAAACTATCGGTGATCCAATTTGCATCACTAAAGCCCTCAACTACACTAGAAAATCCACTATAACATAAAGAGTAGTCTAAGGTTCCTTTAAGATACCTAAAGACTCACTCTAAGGCAACCCAATGCTCTTTACTCGGACTATGTGTATATCTACTTAGTCTCCCTACGACATTCGAGATATCAAGTCTAGACTTATTTGCTATGTATAATAAAGATCCAATCATTTGTGAGTACTTCAATTATAAAATCGGTTCTCCTTTATTTTTCTTTAAATGTACATGAGGATCATATGGTGTTGATGCAGACTTACTATCATAAAAACCAAACTTTTTCAACATTTTCTCTATAGTGCTAGACTGACTTAGAGATATTCTGTTAGATGTTTTCTCTATTTTCATTCCTAAGACCACATAGGCTTCTCCCAAGATTTTCATATCAAACTTAGTAGATAAATAGTATTTAACATTATTAACAACCTCCAAGTTTGTCCCAAAAATTAGTATATCATCTACATAGAGACATAAAATCATACAACCAACATCACTATCCTTGTAGTATAAACATTTACCACTTTCATTAATTTGAAAACCATACTCTAGAATTACTTTATCAAACTTCTCATGCCACTGTTTGGGAGCTTGTTTAAGGTCATATAAAGACTTCACTAACTTAAAAACCTTATGTTCTTGTCCTTTTACTATAAACCCCTCAGGTTATCCCATATATATTTTTTCATCTAAATCCCTATTTAGAAAAG